AAGCGGTGCCTCGGGCAAACAGCCGGCAGCGTGCAGCCCAGGAGGAGGGGGCTGCTCTCACAGCCACAGGAAGGGGCGCAAGGCTCAGGCACAGTCGGGAGGTTTTGAGGGTCTATCCTGGGAGACTCTTTGCCCCAAGCCAGCGGCGTCTTTGCAGTAGGACAATCCTATGGGAATCTATCCGCTCGTTTGTCTCGGAAGTGAACCGTACAACGCGCTGAACTTCAGCTGTAAGATCTGGTCACTGCAGGGGATAAAATGCCAAGCTCTGAATTCTTGGTTGTGTTATGAATAGGAGCTAGTCAGCCTGCCCTACAATGCTGCTTCCAAGATGTTGGGTGTTTTTGTGTACAGTAGCCAAGTGACTGTTGCCAAGCCAGGATTCCAGCCTCCAGCTCGGAATATTCCTAATGTCTGTGAAATACAGGCCCTTTCTTCTGTGACAGCAGGGCTGCTCTGTCCCTCAGTGCCTGTGTCCTGTGTGGCTTTGGTAATGAGCAGCAGGACTCTCTCCCAGACCAGGGCATTTTCATATAATCGTGGAATCCTGGAATGGTTCTGTTGAAAGGGATGCTAAAGCTCATCTAGTTCCAACCCCTGCCCCGGGCAGGGACACCTTCCACTAGAGCAGGTTGCTCCAAGCCCCTGTGTCCAACCTGGCCTTGAACACTGCCAGGGATGGGGCAGCCACAGCTTCTCTGGGCACCCTGTGCCAGCGCCTCAGCACCCTCACAGGGAAGAGCTGCTGCCCAAGAGCTCATCTCAATCTCCCCTCTCGCAGGTTAAAGCCATTCCCCTTGTCCTGTGGCAAGGGCCCTTGTCAGAAGTCCTTGTTGCACTCTGGGGGAGCATCCCTGGGAGGACAGTGCCCCAGCAGACAGCAAGCACGTGAAGGTGCTCCAGTGCTAGCTTTGGGTTTACTCCCAGCTGTGTTTAAGCTCCAATTTATTCCCTGTTTTTCCATTAGATCCCAACGGCTGCAGTTTGATGTGTCCTCACCCAATGGCATCCTGCTGTTCCGAGAAACAAGTAAAATGATAACTACATATGGTGAGTGTGCAGGGGGACCTGGGCAGCCTTGCTCTGCCCTTGAGTGCTCTGCTTGCTCGGGGAGGGAGGGCTGGGGCCCTTGCCAGCACAGCCAGCCTGGGCTGGGGAGCTGTGCCAACCTGCTTGCTGAATGCATGCTGGGACACAAGGAGATGCTTCTGCTTGAGGTGCTGGGTAGGCAGGCGAGCAGCAGGGGCAGGGTGTTTGCTGTGGAAAGTGAGGAAGAAAATGCCAGCAAGGAGCAGGAGCCCAGCTGAGCCCCTTCTGAGTGTGCAAGGTGACATGGGCGAGCCTGTCCTCCTGCTGTCCTGTTGGCACAGCACGGTGAGATGCTGCTGCAGTCTGCCATGGCTCCTAGGAGAGCCACACTGAACTTGCAGCAGGTTCCTTAACCTTTGGCTGGGGGAACGAGTCCTCGGCACTTCATGCTGACTTCTCAGTCATTTGTTATTGC